AGCTGGTGTTGGCAAAACTGGACAGCTACATGCAAGAGAGTGAAACTGGATTATTGTTTAACCCCACACACAAAGGTAAACTCAAAATGGAGTAAAGACTTGAATTTAAGTCATGAAACCATAAAACTCTAGAAGACAACATAGGCAAACATCTCCTGAACATAAGCATGAGCAACTTCTTCCTGAACCCATCTCCTCGAGAAAGGGAAACAAAAGCAAAAATGAACTCATGGGACTACATCAAACTAAAAAGTTTTTGTACGGCAAAGGATATCATCAACAAAACAAAAAGGCATCCTACAGTATGGGAGAATATATTTGTAAATGACATATCCGACAAGGGTTTAACATCCAAAATATATAAAGAACTTACACCCCTCAACACCCAAAAAGCAAATAACCCGATTAACAAATGGGCAGAGGATATGAAGAGACAGTTCTCCAAAGAAGAAATTCAGATGGCCAACAGACACATGAAAAGATGCTCTACATCACTAATCATCAGGGAAATGCAAATTAAAACCACAATTAGGTATCATCTCACACCAGTAAGGATGGCTAGCATTGAAAAGACTAATAACAACAAATGTTGGCAAGGATGCGGAGAAAGGGGAACCCTCCTACACTGATGGTGGGAATGTAAGCTAGTTCAACCATTGTGGAAAGCAATATCGAGATTCCTCAAATAACTAGCAATAGAAATACCATTTGACCCTGGAATCCCACACCTTGGAATATACCCAAAGAATACAACTTCTCAGATTCAAAAAGACATATGCACCCCTATGTTTATCGCAGCACTTTTTACAATAGCCACGATATGGAAGCAACCTAAGTGTCCATCAGTAGATGAATGGATAAAGAAGATGTGGTACATATATACAATGGAATACTATCCAGCCATAAGAAAGAAAGAAATCCTACCATTTCTAGCAACATGGATGGAGCTGGAGGACATTATGCTCAGTGAAATAAGCCAGGTGGAGAAAGACAAATGCCAAATGATTGCCCTCATTTGTGGAGTATAACAATGAAGCAAAACTGAAGAAACAAAATAGCAGCAGACTCGGAGACTCCAAGAATGAACCATGGGTTATCAAAGGGGAGGGGTGTGGAAGGGAAGGTGGGGAGGGAGGGAGAAGGGGACTGAGGGGTATTATGCTTAGTACACATGGTGTGGGGTATCATGGGAAGAACAGTGTATCACAGAGAAGGCACATAGTGGATCTCTGGCAACTTGATGCACTGACAGACAGTGACTGCATTGGGGTATGGGTGGGGACTTGATAATATGGGTAAATGTAGTAACCACATTGTTTTTTATGTGAAACCTTCATAAGAGTGTATATCAATCATACCTTAATAAAAAAATTTTTTAAAAATCTTCAAGGTTGCAAGAAGCCCTCTATTTGCATGCCAGTTCCAAGTGTGGAAGGAGCCTCAGATCATAGTGGGTGAATGAGGGGTGCGGGAATGATGGATCCTCTCCTTACGTGAAGGGGGTACTCAGTGGGGGAGCATACTTGGGGAGACTCATGGAGGGAAAGGAACATTCTTAGGGGAACTAGGAGTGGGAGTTAGGTGAGGAGACGGGGTGGGAAGTGAGTGGTGGTGAGGTGTGCACATTCCAGGCTGCACAGCCTCTGAGGCAGCCACAGCAGGAGGCCTTCCTCCTCCCAGGAGGGACCCTCCCACACCCTATCACCAGCTGGGTGCCCACCCAGATGAGCCAACCCAACAGAGCTCAGATGCCCACAGACCTGCAAGAGGTAGCGAAGTGGTTGCAAAGGTTTGCCATGGTGAAGGATGGGGTATGACCTCTGCCGAGCTCCTGCATGTCTGCAGACCTTCCCCAGGAGGACAGAGCTGACGGGCTGGGCCCCACAGAGTCTGCTGGCACTTCACTTGCACAGTGGTGATGGCCTCGTGGCACCCTAGCCCTGCCCATCTCCCAGGCTCTCCACCTCTGAAAGCAGTTCTCACAACTGAAGACTAGTGATGACTTCAGTCACTCCTACTAACCAAGGAAGTGAGTCCCCAGACCCATCCAAGGGCAGGGACGCATGGCCAGGATGGGCTGCTTGCTCTCCCTGCAGCTGTGGGGCCCGGTGATCATATACTTTCCACTCCAGCCACAGCTGAGCTTCTTTCCCACCTTCTCACTCCTTCAGGGGCCCCTGGGGATGACAGGCCATAGAGGCCAAGGATGGGCCAGCTAGGGTCTGAATGGGGCAAAGGATGTTCTGTGGTACTGTTTTCCAACCAGTCACTCCAGTTAACAGGCTGCTTCTCTTGATTCTGCCACTCGAGTGCTTGGCAGAGCTGAATGTGGCCAGCATGCTCCCCCCAGCCAGACTTTACCCTCATGCCCCTCATCTCACCCATTGAGGAACTGGTGGTTTTCTTCTGCCCCGCTACCAGTCCTCAGGAAGCCAAGTGACCCACTCCCAACCCCAGGGCACTCCTCCCCAGGAAGCTAAGAGCCCTGTTACTGTCCTTACAGATGTCCTCAGTGAGAGCCAGGCCACCCCCCACCCAAATCCAGCTCACAAGTTGCCTGGAGCCACAGCTGCTACCTTGGTTTCCTTCCCACCGACAACATTAGAAGTCTGAACAGCTCAGAGGACTGCTGGTCATGCCAATCCCTCCCCTCCCTGTACCCTGAGTCAAAGGCCTTGGTCACAGTGGCTGGGACCTCAGATTTTGTACAAAAAGCTGGGCACATAGTCAAACCTGAGTGTGGGGTGGCTGGTTCCAGGAGACTCTTGCGTATAGTGCAGCTTCAACAGCTCAGCCAGGTACTGGACAACCTTAACATCTTCACTCACCAGACCCAGGCTCAGCTTCAGGAAGCTTGCCTGGCGGCTGGCAACCACTCTGTCTGTCTCCCTGTCATGGGCAGGTAGGTGCAGGTGGTGGCAGAAAGCGTAGAGGAAGGCCTTGGAGCAGAGCTGGGTGAGCATGCTCTGGACATGCAGGTAGTAGGTGCTGCCCCGCCTGATCTGCGTGCGGTGGTCTGCCAGCTGGGGCACGAGGGTGCCTCTGTAGAGGGGGCAGCGCAGGGTTTTGTTATCCAGATCCAGGACACTCACGTAGCGGCTGTAGCGGCCCAGGGCGTGGAGGGTGCCAGCACTGGCAGGGGACGCCACTCTGAAACACACAGGCCCAGGTCAGGAGGAAGGGCAAGGGAAAAGACTACAGAGGAAAAGCTTGGAGAGGGCCTTCCTGTTTTCAGGCCAACACTCACTGGCTATGTCTGGAAACCAAACATCATCATCATCTTCCAAGGGCTCCTCGCCATCCTCACCACCAAGTTCAAGTGCCCTGATGTGGCCCACAAGGCCCTGCATGACCTGTTACTTCCCGGGTGACTCCCCCTTGCAGCCATGCCAAGCTTTCGGGGAGGCCTCAAGGTCAGGGCCCTGTTTACCCAGCCTGGAATACTCTTGCCTCCCTATTGTACTTGGCTTATACATTCAAACCTTACCCAGCCATCTCCCATCTCCTCCTCTGCTCCTCTTTCTTGCCCTGTCTTCTTCCTCTTTCTTCCTCTGAGCCTCCCCTGTGAGACAGAGAGAACAGTTCCTACCTCATGGGGTCACTGCAGACCGATGGAGTTGTGCTTAGGGAGTGCCTGGCCCTCAGATCAGCCTAGCCCTGGCCAGTGTGGTGACTGGTCTCTCCTGCTTGACAGCAGCTTCTGCTGACCCAGAACTGTATCCGATTTGGCCTCCTGCCCCCACTGTCCAGTACCAGGCACACACATCAGAGGCAGGCAGGCAGGCAGGGTTTGTTCAGTGAGGAAAGGAGGATGGAGTGGTCAGTCTCAGTAAGTGGCTCTTTAAAACCCTTAATCCTCTTTCTCAGAAAGGCCAGGGCTGCCGTGCAGTCTGGCAAATGGCTGGCTGACTAGAGATTTCACAGACTGACATGTCTCTGGAATTTACGGCTTGTGTTACACTGAAGATGTTGTGTAAAAAGGACTGACAGTTACTTGGGACCAAGGTAACATCCTAACATTTTTTTCCTTCCTGGGCATGGTTATCTCTTTGTATAGTTAATAGCCAGTAACTGTGTATCTACTATTTACCAGGCAGTGATCTGGGGGCTATGCAGACAATAAATGAGCCTGGTCTGACTGGGAAGCAAAGACACATACAGCACACTGAGTGAAGGGTGGCATGGGCTCAGCACCCACAGAAGAAGCCCGGGGCCAGGAAGGTCCTGTAGGAGTGGCCTCCAAATTGGGCCTTGCCAGCAAAGTGGGCTCTGGGAGCTGCGGAAGGTATTCCAGACCACAGCAGGAGCAGGGTCAGTGGTGGGAAAGCAGAGAGCCAGCTTCACAGGCCTTGCATCCTGAGACCCAGGAGAGCAGTGGGCTCTGGACCGCATCCCAGGGAGGCCAGGCCACAGGCGGGCCAAGTGCCTCTTCGAGTTTGGGATGTCCCGGCCCTAAGGCTCTGCCCCAGCAGCATGGCCAGGCCTCACCCCATCTTCCTGCCTTCCACTCTCACTAAACGCCCTGGCCCAGGCCCAGCCCCACCCTGGGGCGGCCCTAACACCCGCTACAGCGGCACCACTCTTAGAAGATGCTGCTTCTTCTAACTCCTCCTCCTCATCAAAGTCTCTCGTCAGGAGGCCAGACAACATGGGAAGAGGCTCCAGGGCCTCACACTCTCCTATTAACCTTTCCTTCTGCTCCGCACAGTGGCCACCTGAAGGCCCGCTCGCGGATTTGTTTGACAAGCTCTGCTGGATGAATGAGGAGGTAATGAGTCCGCAACCACACAGCTAGTAATGCAGCACCGGGACCCGAGCTCACACTCCCACTGCCTCCCTAACTGCCAGAGACTGCAACTCCCGGCTTTCCACCTCAGGACACTTCTGTATCGTATCTTTGTATCTGCTCCTCACCTCCCAGGACAACTCAAGTGGAGCAAATCTAGTCTCCACTCCGTTTCTGGCCCCTCAGCTGACCCTCCAGTGTCTTGGGAACAAGGCCCTCATACCTCATGCCGGAGCAGGACCTTCTGGAGGTAATGTTCCCAGTTCCCAACACCTGTGTATGCTCAGGAGGTTTGAGGAGAGTAACAGGACAAGTAGTCAGGCGCTGTCCTATTTGGAATTCTTTGCAAAGGTCTCAAACGTCCCTTGCTCAGTTAGGATGGGCTTCTTCCCTCTCAGAGGGATGCTGAAAGGCTTTGAGGTCTGGCTGGTGAGGGCCACTCAGCCCCGCTACCCTGGCCTGCCTTCCTGAAGCCTCTCCACACCCCTGCCAGGGTACTGGAGGAGTGCTCACACTCAGGAACACACCAGGGGCAACAGGCCCTCCCGTATCTGCCCTCACACACAGGTCTGGTCAGCTATCTACAGGTGGAAACAGCCTCAGAGAGGTCAGGCTGACAGAGCGGAGACAGAGCTGGGCTGGACTGAGGTGCCTCCACAGAGGCCGTGCTCACCCAGCCACAGGATGCGCCATGGCTGACTCACCTTCTAGTCCTGGCACTGAGCAGCCCTCAATCAATATTCGGCAAATGATCAGTGATCCAACCCACTCATTTTCTCAGGGGGAACAAGCCTTGTGTGGAGGAGTGCCCTGCCCAGGTGCCCATTGTAATGAACAGTGGTAGGGCTGGCCCAGGCAGGGCTCAGACCACCTCACACACACCCCCACCCCCACTCCAGGGTGCCAAATCATTGCCCAGCTGCCAGTGCCCTTTCCTGCACCCAGACAGAAGCAATCAATCACGGCAGGCTTTCCAGCGCAGCACAGCCTGAGCCTTAGACTCCTTCTCAACACGGCATGCCAGTCAGGGGCCCAGGTGAGGGGCGCTGCCGTGAGATGAAGCCCTTCTGCCATTCCAGCACACTCTAAGGGATGCTAGGGGGAGCCTCGGGAGGGGCGACACCGTCCTGAGCCTGGTCCTGGGGAAGCCAACTCATCCCGATAGACAGATGTGTATATTAAGAGTCCCTACCTTTTGAGGTAAGCAAGTGAAAGGTCAAAGGTTGGGACAAGGGGAGTCAGAGAACAGATGTGTGCATGTGAGGGATACTCAGCTACCATTCTACTGAGACCAGTAGCAAAACACAATCCCTGACTGGCCCTTCCCTTCCCAGGACAGACTGGTTAAACTCTAGAGCAGGAGCGGCATCAGCAGAGGGACAGGAGGAGCAAAGCCTGCAAGGACACCTGGTGCAGTCATCCACCTCCCCAAGCCTCAACTCCTGCATCCCTAAGCAAGAGCTGGACTGGTGGGTTCCTCCAATACCTACAGAACAGGCCTCGTCTGGGTGTCTCAGGCATGTCACACCAAGTTCCACGTCCTCACTCTTCCTCCACACCGGCAATCCCACCCTCTGGGCCACTCAAGGCAAAGATCCTGGACCTTCTCCAGGTAGGTAGGTAGGTCTCTCTCACTTCCCAAGTGTGACTGTATTGCTCCCTCTGTGAACTTAGAATGCATGATGCTCCCACTGTTGGAACTCTCATGCCCTGTATGGCAGGTTCTGGTCACCTGTGTGCCTCCTCACCTGGACTAGGAATCCTTTCAGAGCAGTGGCCTTACTCAGATAACTCTAGATGGCGGCCCTGCACCTGCCAGTATGGCCAGTGAGTCAAGTCGTGAAGTGGAAGAGGACTTGCTTGAATCCCACTACCATGACCTCAGGAAAAGCCTACTGCAGTAAGGGTGAGAGGTCCAGGTGACTTCCCTAAGACCAAACACAACAGACTCGGGAGACAGAGGCCTTACTGCTATCAGGAACCTACAGAGAGGGAAAGTCAGAAAATTAGAACACAGTTGCTGAATGCAGAGTGGAAGAAACTCCTATTGCCCTTCCAATATGGTGTGCCAATCTCTCTTTAGTCATTTACACCACAGTATAAATTTCAGAATCAGCAAAGACCAGAGATCTAGAAATTCTCAAACTTTGCTGTACACCAGATAAATTCCATGTCTTACCCCAGACCAACTGAATTTTTAAGGGTGGCGCCCAGGAATCTGTGATTTGAAATTTTCTCAAATAATTCTTTACCCACCAGGTTGCAGACCATGGTTGGCAACCACTTAGAAACTGCAACCCCCTCAGGTGATCAACAAGAAACCAGAAGGTCAGAGAAAGGCAATGATTTGACAGAAGGAACAGTGAGTTGGTAGGCCCAGTCTGAAGCCAGGTCTCCTGATTCTGGGTCCACCACACCAACTTACTGACCTCACCCAGAGGGATGTACATTAGAAGCCTCATCTTGAACTGGACAGGGCCCTTCCCCACCACCAGTTACCTCTGCAGGCCAATAAGCTTCCACTTCTGAAAATCCATAATGTGCAAAGGGGAGGAGGCCCAGTGCTTCACGGGTTTGGCGTAACGGCTATAGTTGGGGACAAAGATGGAGAGCGCTGTCACGAGCTTCCTGACTATGGACTCGTCCTCCCCCAGGACCACGAGTGTCCTCCCGCTAAGCAGGGAGTAGATGGCTGGGTGGGCAAAGGGGTACTGGCGGATGAATTTTAAGGCATTCTGGCCAGCCCTCTTTTTATGTCTCTCGGAAGAGGGGCCAGCAGAATGAGCAGACAAGGGAGTCCTGTCCGAGCTGGTGGAGGCTACACTGCTTACATAGCTGGTGGTGTCTGAGCTGTTGTCCAGGCTGGTCTTACTGACATCTCGGTTGGCCAGCAGGTGGCTCGGGTCCAGTTTGTAAGCGTAAGCAGGGAAGCCTTCAGAACTATTGTCTCTGGAAGAAGGGTGGGTGCTTTCCACTGCAAACTCCACATGGAACCCCTGGTCCTTCTGCCTGTAGCGCTGTGGAGGGATGCTCACCACTCCATCCTCATCAAAGAACGTGTGGGCTGGAATGGAGAGTGGCACCTGCAGACTGTCACTCTCCTTCCCAATGCAGCAGGAGGAGTCTGTTTGGGGTGGGGTATTTTCTAAGCTGCCCTCCTCCATTTCACCCAGCTCCAGTGGACTGATGCTTGCCTGGAAGTGAATGGCTCCCTCACTATCATCTGCATATGATTCTTCTTCATTAATGGCAGTTGGGTAGCTGGCCTTAAAGTCATCAGGGATGAGGGCCTCAGAGGGACAGGTGCTGAGGACTTCAATACTGTCCTCACTGATTGTCCTGTGGCTGACAGCTTTGCTCCGGACCACCTGGGGGCTCAATGGCATGGTAAGACTGGCCTGGCTGTAAGACTTGGATAGCACAGAGGTGGACTTCTCTGTGCCTAAAACTTCTATGCTTTCACCACTGCTAATACTCCCTTTCATATCCATATCCAGGTAGTCCAAGTTTTCCTGGGGATCAAAACTGCTCAATTCTGTCACCTCTACTTCCTTGCACTCCTCATCTCCAAGTTCCTGCTCCATCTTGATTACCACAGACTCTACACTGGACTTGTAAGAGCCAAAGCTGATTAACACTTGAGGAATCGGACATTGTTCCAGAGACCTGGATGGTGGCCTGCCTTGACTGGGCTTAGTAGGTATGCTCTCTTGTTTTTCTACCACCCTGTCATCAACCTCCACAAAGTCTTCAAAGAGGAAGTTTGTTATGTACTGTTGCTTTAGGAGTGCTCTGTCAATCTGGCTGGTAAGGAGGTAGCACAGATCTCCTCTGAACATGTGCTCAATGTGGCTGAGCTGAGCCAGGGTCTGGGTGAAACACTCAGTGTCACAGAGCTCTTCCAGGGTTTTCAATTTCTTGTCAAAACACTTGGCAGACTTTGCTTTAATGAGTTTTGGGGTGTAGGCAGGTCTGCAGGTGTAAAGGTCAGTGTCAGCACATTCATCAGGGTTAGAAGTACTGGCTGCCTGGTCAGCCTGATCCTGGGTGGGCTCCATCTCCCCAGAACACAAATTAGACCCTTTCAGCTTCCTGTGAGGGTATGAACGGATCTGCTTCAGGAGATCTTGATGTTCAATGATGGATTTCTCTACGCTAGCAAGTTCGTTGGCTTTCTCAATTGCCTGAGAAGAGTAAAAGCCTTTGTCATTGGCTTTCTTCTGGATCTCAGTTTCAGTGTGCAGCACTGTCCTGGTGTAATCCAAGTCTTTTAGTTTTTTTTCAAGTTCTCCAGCAAATGCCTTCCTGTTGCCTGTCTTCAAGCACTCAGAAGCTTTAGAAAATTCAGCTGAAAGCTCCTGGAACTGCTGCATGATTTTGTGCTGGTCGGCGGAGATATAAGCCATGCAAAAGGGCCTCACGAAGCCACGGGCCTCCAGGTCATACAGGGTAAGGTGGTGCACGTACGCAAAGGCTCCCTCCTTCGAGTCTCCCAGTACCACCTTAGAATCCTCCACGAAGTTCAGCTTCGGGTAGGCAGAACCAGGGGGATGGCCCACGAAGGAGGCCTGGTAATCCACAGACATGATCCGCAAGGAGAAGTAATTGAGATCAAAGGTACCAAAAACTTTGGCATCATTGGGGATGGTCAGCAATGGCTGCGGGCCCACCTGCTCGGAGAACTCAGAAATAAGGATGAAGTCCCGGGAGAACTTGGCCCCGGACAGTTTGGACCATGGGTTGGCCCCTTGGCTGGCGAAGGGTAAGAGAGGTACCGAGTATTCCTCGGGCAGGGCCGGCTCATTGTAAGGCTCCTCCTCGTACTCCTCCTCTTTAGTGAAAGCCACCACGTCAGGGGCGCTGATCATATTTCCAGATATATGAAGAGAACATTGAGAGGAAGTGGGAAAAAACGCGTGGAAGCTGGCCTCTGGAGGATGAAGCAAAGTCCGTGCTATCTTCTTTGCGCCGTCAAACGTAGAATACTTTTAATACACCCGTGGAACTCCCACAGCCCCCTCAGAGGTGTGAGGTGTAGCTCCTCCAGGGCCCCCGGAAGCCTCATGTACTCCGCAGGTGCATAAGACCTGGGAGGCAGGTTGTCCTGCTCCTCCTCCTCGGGTGAGCGCGGCCGGCGCAGGGGGCCTGCAGCGAGGTCACCGGCACTTCCCCGGAACCCAATGCGACAGCAACAGCCCCAGCCCTGAACCGGTACCTAACGCAAGGATACGGCCCACCGCCGGGACCAGACGCGCGCTGCCGCCCCCAGGCCTGAGAGCAGAAACCGTCGTGGCTCTTCGGACGCCACACGCAGACCAAGCTACCGCGGTGCCGCCATTTTGGAATCACATGACTCGTGGGGCTGGCGCCCCGCGACCCGGAAGCGTTCGCATAGCCCTCGGAGCATGATTGAGCGAGCGAGAGGCTTGAAGAGGACCGCAGAGCGGCCTCGCCCAAGGACGAAAGGTTCAGCCAACCATTGTCAGGAAGGAAAGGAAGTGGAGCGGCGGAATGGGAACGTACTAGGACGAGGTGTGCGGGGAGCGCGGGGTAGTCTGGGAGTTGTAGTTCGAGAACCTGTGTGCCTGATCTCCGGCGGATGTGGCCCGAGAAGGCGGGCGGAAGTGGGCTGCCAACGTGCGGGATTCCGGGCAGAGGTGCGGCGGTGAGCGGAAGGTGCAACGACAGCAGCACTGAAGCCCGGCGGGCTGGTGAGGGGTGACCTGGAGGCAAGCGGCGGCGCTGGCGGCTCCCGGAGGCTCTCGTTCCCTTCGGGTGGGCGCCGGGTGGGCCTCACCTCTGGCTCCCCCAGCATGCGCGGGGCCTAGGAATGATCTTTCCAATAGCCTACTCTGTGCTTGGCTGGCTGCAGCGGCCCGGAGGCAGGACCTTGTCCCGCGCCGCCATGGAGGTGGCCTTCCGAGGCATGCGGAAAATCCTCTGTGTGGCCGAAAAAAACGACGCGGCCAAGGGGATCGCCGACTTGCTGTCCAACGGTCGCATGACGCGGGTTCCACCTCCCCAAGCCTCAACTCCTGCATCCCTAAGCAAGAGCTGGACTGGTGGGTTCCTCCAATACCTACAGAACAGGCCTCGTCTGGGTGTCTCAGGCATGTCACACCAAGTTCCACGTCCTCACTCTTCCTCCACACCGGCAATCCCACCCTCTGGGCCACTCAAGGCAAAGATCCTGGACCTTCTCCAGGTAGGTAGGTAGGTCTCTCTCACTTCCCAAGTGTGACTGTATTGCTCCCTCTGTGAACTTAGAATGCATGATGCTCCCACTGTTGGAACTCTCATGCCCTGTATGGCAGGTTCTGGTCACCTGTGTGCCTCCTCACCTGGACTAGGAATCCTTTCAGAGCAGTGGCCTTACTCAGATAACTCTAGATGGCGGCCCTGCACCTGCCAGTATGGCCAGTGAGTCAAGTCGTGAAGTGGAAGAGGACTTGCTTGAATCCCACTACCATGACCTCAGGAAAAGCCTACTGCAGTAAGGGTGAGAGGTCCAGGTGACTTCCCTAAGACCAAACACAACAGACTCGGGAGACAGAGGCCTTACTGCTATCAGGAACCTACAGAGAGGGAAAGTCAGAAAATTAGAACACAGTTGCTGAATGCAGAGTGGAAGAAACTCCTATTGCCCTTCCAATATGGTGTGCCAATCTCTCTTTAGTCATTTACACCACAGTATAAATTTCAGAATCAGCAAAGACCAGAGATCTAGAAATTCTCAAACTTTGCTGTACACCAGATAAATTCCATGTCTTACCCCAGACCAACTGAATTTTTAAGGGTGGCGCCCAGGAATCTGTGATTTGAAATTTTCTCAAATAATTCTTTACCCACCAGGTTGCAGACCATGGTTGGCAACCACTTAGAAACTGCAACCCCCTCAGGTGATCAACAAGAAACCAGAAGGTCAGAGAAAGGCAATGATTTGACAGAAGGAACAGTGAGTTGGTAGGCCCAGTCTGAAGCCAGGTCTCCTGATTCTGGGTCCACCACACCAACTTACTGACCTCACCCAGAGGGATGTACATTAGAAGCCTCATCTTGAACTGGACAGGGCCCTTCCCCACCACCAGTTACCTCTGCAGGCCAATAAGCTTCCACTTCTGAAAATCCATAATGTGCAAAGGGGAGGAGGCCCAGTGCTTCACGGGTTTGGCGTAACGGCTATAGTTGGGGACAAAGATGGAGAGCGCTGTCACGAGCTTCCTGACTATGGACTCGTCCTCCCCCAGGACCACGAGTGTCCTCCCGCTAAGCAGGGAGTAGATGGCTGGGTGGGCAAAGGGGTACTGGCGGATGAATTTTAAGGCATTCTGGCCAGCCCTCTTTTTATGTCTCTCGGAAGAGGGGCCAGCAGAATGAGCAGACAAGGGAGTCCTGTCCGAGCTGGTGGAGGCTACACTGCTTACATAGCTGGTGGTGTCTGAGCTGTTGTCCAGGCTGGTCTTACTGACATCTCGGTTGGCCAGCAGGTGGCTCGGGTCCAGTTTGTAAGCGTAAGCAGGGAAGCCTTCAGAACTATTGTCTCTGGAAGAAGGGTGGGTGCTTTCCACTGCAAACTCCACATGGAACCCCTGGTCCTTCTGCCTGTAGCGCTGTGGAGGGATGCTCACCACTCCATCCTCATCAAAGAACGTGTGGGCTGGAATGGAGAGTGGCACCTGCAGACTGTCACTCTCCTTCCCAATGCAGCAGGAGGAGTCTGTTTGGGGTGGGGTATTTTCTAAGCTGCCCTCCTCCATTTCACCCAGCTCCAGTGGACTGATGCTTGCCTGGAAGTGAATGGCTCCCTCACTATCATCTGCATATGATTCTTCTTCATTAATGGCAGTTGGGTAGCTGGCCTTAAAGTCATCAGGGATGAGGGCCTCAGAGGGACAGGTGCTGAGGACTTCAATACTGTCCTCACTGATTGTCCTGTGGCTGACAGCTTTGCTCCGGACCACCTGGGGGCTCAATGGCATGGTAAGACTGGCCTGGCTGTAAGACTTGGATAGCACAGAGGTGGACTTCTCTGTGCCTAAAACTTCTATGCTTTCACCACTGCTAATACTCCCTTTCATATCCATATCCAGGTAGTCCAAGTTTTCCTGGGGGTCAAAACTGCTCAATTCTGTCACCTCTACTTCCTTGCACTCCTCATCTCCAAGTTCCTGCTCCATCTTGATTACCACAGACTCTACACTGGACTTGTAAGAGCCAAAGCTGATTAACACTTGAGGAATCGGACATTGTTCCAGAGACCTGGATGGTGGCCTGCCTTGACTGGGCTTAGTAGGTATGCTCTCTTGTTTTTCTACCACCCTGTCATCAACCTCCACAAAGTCTTCAAAGAGGAAGTTTGTTATGTACTGTTGCTTTAGGAGTGCTCTGTCAATCTGGCTGGTAAGGAGGTAGCACAGATCTCCTCTGAACATGTGCTCAATGTGGCTGAGCTGAGCCAGGGTCTGGGTGAAACACTCAGTGTCACAGAGCTCTTCCAGGGTTTTCAATTTCTTGTCAAAACACTTGGCAGACTTTGCTTTAATGAGTTTTGGGGTGTAGGCAGGTCTGCAGGTGTAAAGGTCAGTGTCAGCACATTCATCAGGGTTAGAAGTACTGGCTGCCTGGTCAGCCTGATCCTGGGTGGGCTCCATCTCCCCAGAACACAAATTAGACCCTTTCAGCTTCCTGTGAGGGTATGAACGGATCTGCTTCAGGAGATCTTGATGTTCAATGATGGATTTCTCTACGCTAGCAAGTTCGTTGGCTTTCTCAATTGCCTGAGAAGAGTAAAAGCCTTTGTCATTGGCTTTCTTCTGGATCTCAGTTTCAGTGTGCAGCACTGTCCTGGTGTAATCCAAGTCTTTTAGTTTTTTTTCAAGTTCTCCAGCAAATGCCTTCCTGTTGCCTGTCTTCAAGCACTCAGAAGCTTTAGAAAATTCAGCTGAAAGCTCCTGGAACTGCTGCATGATTTTGTGCTGGTCGGCGGAGATATAAGCCATGCAAAAGGGCCTCACGAAGCCACGGGCCTCCAGGTCATACAGGGTAAGGTGGTGCACGTACGCAAAGGCTCCCTCCTTCGAGTCTCCCAGTACCACCTTAGAATCCTCCACGAAGTTCAGCTTCGGGTAGGCAGAACCAGGGGGATGGCCCACGAAGGAGGCCTGGTAATCCACAGACATGATCCGCAAGGAGAAGTAATTGAGATCAAAGGTACCAAAAACTTTGGCATCATTGGGGATGGTCAGCAATGGCTGCGGGCCCACCTGCTCGGAGAACTCAGAAATAAGGATGAAGTCCCGGGAGAACTTGGCCCCGGACAGTTTGGACCATGGGTTGGCCCCTTGGCTGGCGAAGGGTAAGAGAGGTACCGAGTATTCCTCGGGCAGGGCCGGCTCATTGTAAGGCTCCTCCTCGTACTCCTCCTCTTTAGTGAAAGCCACCACGTCAGGGGCGCTGATCATATTTCCAGATATATGAAGAGAACATTGAGAGGAAGTGGGAAAAAACGCGTGGAAGCTGGCCTCTGGAGGATGAAGCAAAGTCCGTGCTATCTTCTTTGCGCCGTCAAACGTAGAATACTTTTAATACACCCGTGGAACTCCCACAGCCCCCTCAGAGGTGTGAGGTGTAGCTCCTCCAGGGCCCCCGGAAGCCTCATGTACTCCGCAGGTGCATAAGACCTGGGAGGCAGGTTGTCCTGCTCCTCCTCCTCGGGTGAGCGCGGCCGGCGCAGGGGGCCTGCAGCGAGGTCACCGGCACTTCCCCGGAACCCAATGCGACAGCAACAGCCCCAGCCCTGAACCGGTACCTAACGCAAGGATACGGCCCACCGCCGGGACCAGACGCGCGCTGCCGCCCCCAGGCCTGAGAGCAGAAACCGTCGTGGCTCTTCGGACGCCACACGCAGACCAAGCTACCGCGGTGCCGCCATTTTGGAATCACATGACTCGTGGGGCTGGCGCCCCGCGACCCGGAAGCGTTCGCATAGCCCTCGGAGCATGATTGAGCGAGCGAGAGGCTTGAAGAGGACCGCAGAGCGGCCTCGCCCAAGGACGAAAGGTTCAGCCAACCATTGTCAGGAAGGAAAGGAAGTGGAGCGGCGGAATGGGAACGTACTAGGACGAGGTGTGCGGGGAGCGCGGGGTAGTCTGGGAGTTGTAGTTCGAGAACCTGTGTGCCTGATCTCCGGCGGATGTGGCCCGAGAAGGCGGGCGGAAGTGGGCTGCCAACGTGCGGGATTCCGGGCAGAGGTGCGGCGGTGAGCGGAAGGTGCAACGACAGCAGCACTGAAGCCCGGCGGGCTGGTGAGGGGTGACCTGGAGGCAAGCGGCGGCGCTGGCGGCTCCCGGAGGCTCTCGTTCCCTTCGGGTGGGCGCCGGGTGGGCCTCACCTCTGGCTCCCCCAGCATGCGCGGGGCCTAGGAATGATCTTTCCAATAGCCTACTCTGTGCTTGGCTGGCTGCAGCGGCCCGGAGGCAGGACCTTGTCCCGCGCCGCCATGGAGGTGGCCTTCCGAGGCATGCGGAAAATCCTCTGTGTGGCCGAAAAAAACGACGCGGCCAAGGGGATCGCCGACTTGCTGTCCAACGGTCGCATGACGCGGGTAAGGCAGGCGCATTTCCTTTCAGCTGTGCTGGGTGAGGGAGGCCCACCGAACAGGACAGCGCAGTGGGCGCCAGGAGTAGAGACAAAAGCAACTTCTCCCACCTCTGGGTACTCCCCGACTCGCCTGGGCCGTTGCAATGACAATGTGGCTTCTCTTCGGACTGATAGGCATTTGAAAGTATAGTTAAGATGCTTGACGCATTTGTTTGAAAATTGGCTTTTCCTGGTCCACAGTAGTGGTTCCCAGATTTGTCCAGTTCTAGGAACCAGCTGGGACACTGGGTATTCTGTGGCTCTGGGGTGAGATCAGGGAAGTCTTTATGTTAACGTTATTTCTGCATGATTTTGAAACTCAGGTAGGTTGGGAACCACCAACCAAACTCCTTTATCTTGGCATTCAAGCCCTGCCTAAGCATTCCCAGCTAACCTGGCCCTCCCCATCTCTACCATACTCCCAGGCTCTGCAGCCCCGCAGACTTTCCAACTTGTAAATGGTAAATGCATTCTGACTGGGTAATACTGGGGATTAGAGGGGACGTCAGCTCTATTCCTGCTCCTACAAACTAATGCCTGGAGACAGACAAGTAAGGGATAAGAATGTGTACTAGACACACTGGAGGGACAAAGGCAGAGAAAGGTAACAGGTTTTGTAAGGTGACACAGAAGCCTTAAGATCTGTTTTCTCAAATATTAGTGGATCCTGAAATGTTTTACTGGAGAACATTTCTGGAGTATGGGACTGAAGTTTCCTGCTCTTCTTTCTTTAAAGATGGCAAGGTCCTTAGAGCACTGTTGCTAGCATTTGGATAGTGGGAACAGTATCTGAGGTTGTGTGGTGCTGACAACTTCACCTCTTTCCAGTAGCGGAGGTCCCAGTGACCAGCCCCATCATTTGCCTACTTCCAGGGCTCTTGGCCTCCTGAGAATGGCCCATCTACACTTAACTTCTTTATCGTTCAGGGCTCTGTTTAAACATATCTTCCTCAAGGAAATCTTTTCCTCATGTTCCTCTCCCATGATATGGCTGTCATGGCACCCTGTTCTTCTTGGAAGGCACCTACCAATCATTTAAATAATGCATTGTGCAGTTATTCATTCGGTGCCCCTCACTTGTTCTTGGACTCCAAGGGAAGGGCCTATGTCTACTTTGTTTGTTGCTGTATTCCTGGTGCCTGATACAGAGTCTGGAATACAGAACACACTCAAATATTTGTTGGATGAATGTTTGAGCTGAGTCTTGAAAGTTTTACCAAGCATTGAAAACAGTGTGTACAAAGAAAAACCCAATGGCTTCAGACAGCTTGGCATGTTCAAAAACTGAGAAGTTAAGAGTGTGGGATGGTGGGAGGAAGAGCCAGTGAGTTAAGCAAGAACGGCAGTTGAACGTAAATCCATGAGAGTATTAGCCATGTATTTTCTGGGCACATGTTAAAAACCATATAAAACCATTCTATCATGATGTGAAAATTCATTAGCATTTAGTACATTCACGGTGTTGTGCAACCATCACCTCTATCTAGTTCCAGATTTTTACCACCCCAAAAGGAAACCCTAGAGCCATTAAGCACTCACTTCTCCACCCCCTCCTGCTCCCAGCCCCTGGCATCCACTAATCTGCTTTCTGCCCCATGGATTTGTCTATTCTGGCTATTGCATATAAATAAAATCATACAATACATGGCCCTTTGTGTCAGACTCCTTTTACTTGGCATGATTTTTTTTTTCCTAATCCATGTTGTAGCCTGTGTTAATACATCATTCATTTTAGTGGCTGAATAATCATTGTATGGATGGACCACATTTTGTTTATCCACTGATGAGTTGGTGAATATCTGGGTTGATTCCACCTTTTGGCTATTGGAAATATGCTGCTATAAACAGTAAGGTACAAATTTTTCTTTGAATGCCTGTTTTTAGTTCTTTTGGGTAAATTCTAGGAGTGGAATTGGTGGATCATAAGTTTACTCTATGTTTAACTTTTTGAGGCGTGGCTAAACTTTTCCACAGTGGCTGAAACATTTTACATTCACCAGCAATGTTCCACTTTCTTTACATCCTTACCAATGCTTGTTATTTTTCATTTTTTTTATTATCTCCATCCTAGTGGGTATGAAGTGTCTCACTGTGCAGTTCGATTTGAATTTCCAAATGACACTGAGCATCTTTATATGTGCTTTTTGGCCATTTGTATGTCTCTGAAGAAATGTCTGTCAGTGTCTTTTGTTTATTTTTAGATCATGTTGTCTTTTTGTTACTGGTTTGTACGAATTCTTTATCTATTCTGGATATTAGACCTTTATTAGAGAAATCATTTGCAAATATTTTCTTCCATCCTAAAGTCTGTCTTTTCACCTTCTTCATAGTGTTCTTTGATACACAAGAGGTTTTAATTTTCATTAGGTACAATTTATCTGTTTATCTATTTTTCTTCTGTTGATTATGCATTAGTGTCATACCTAAGAAACCATTGCCATATCTGAGGTCTTGAAGATTTGCCCCGTGTTTATTTGTAAGAGTTTTTTTTTTGTATCATTAATCTACAGTTACATGAGGAACATTATGTTTACTAGACTCCCTCCATACCCAAGTCACCCCGACAAATCCCATTGCAGTCACTGTCCATCAGCATAGTAAGATGCTGTAGAGTCGCTGCTTGTCTTCTCTGTGTTGCACAGCCCTCCCCATGCCCCCCACACACATTATACATGCTAATCGTAATGCCCCCCCGCCCCCGCTTATCCCTCCCTCCCCACCCATCCTCCTCCCCAGTACCTTTCCCTTTGGTAACTGTTAGTCCATTATTGGGTTCTGTGAGTCTGCTGCTGTTTTGTTCCTTCAGTTTTCCTTTGTTCTTATACTCCACATATGAGTGAAATCATTTGGTACTTGTCTTTCTCCGCCTGGCTTATTTCACTGAGCATAATACCCTCTAGCTCCATCCATGTTGTTGCAAATGGTAGGATTTGTTTTCTTCTTATGGCTGAATAATATTCTATTGTGTATATGTACCACATCTTTTTTATCCATTCATCTACTGATGGACACTTAGGTTGCTTCCATTTCTTGGCTATTGTAAATAGTGCTGCGATAAACATAGGGGTGCATCTGTCTTTTTCAAACTGGGTTGCTGCATTCTTAGGGTAAATTCCTAGAAGTGGAATTCCTGGGTCAAATGGTATTTCTATTTTGAGCTTTTTGAGGAACCTCCATACTGCTTTCCACAATGGTTGAACTAATTTACATTCCCACCAGCAGTGTAGGAGGGTTCCCCTTTCTCCACAACCTCGCCAACATTTGTTGTTGTTTGTCTTTTGGATGGTGGCGATCCTTACTGGTGTGAGGTGATATCTCATTGTTGTTTTAATTTGCATTTCTCTGATGACTAGCGATGTGGAGCATCTTTTCATGTATCTGTTGGCCATCTGAATTTCTTCTTTGGAGAACTGTCTATTCAGCTCCTCTGCCCATTTTTTAATTGGAATATTTGCTTTTTGTTTGTTGAGGTGTGTGAGCTCTTCATTTATTTTGGATGTCAACCCGTTATTGGATTTGTCATTTATGAATATATTCTCCCATACTGTAGGATGCCTTTTTGTTCTATTGGTGGTGTCCTTTGCTGTACAGAAGCTTTTTAGTTTGATGTAGTCCCACGTGCTTACTTTTGCTTTTGTTTCCCTTGCCCGGGAAGATATGTTCGTGAAGAAGTTGCTCATGTTTATGTCCAAGAGATGTTTACCTATATTTTTTTCTAAGAGTTTTATGGTTTTATGACTTACATTCAGGTCTTTGATCCATTTTGAATTTACTTTTGTGTATGGGGTTAGACAATGATCCAGTTTCATTTTCTTACATGTAGCTGTCCAGTTTTGCCAACACCAGCTGTTGAAGAGGCTATCATTTCCCCATTGTATATCCATGGCTCCTTTATCGTATATTAATTGACCATATATGTTTGAGTTAATGTCTGGAGTCTCTATTCTATTCCACTGGTCTGTGGCTTTGTTCTTGTGCCACTACCAAATTGTCTTGATTACTATGGCTTTATAGTAGAGCTTGAAGTTGGGAAGCAAGATACCCTCCCCCACACACATTTTTCTTCCTTCTCAGGATTGCTTTGGGTATTCGGGGTCTTTGGTGGTTCCATATGAATTTTAGAACTATGTGTTCCAGTTTGTTGAAGAATGCTGTTGGTATTTTGATAGGCATTGCTTTGAAACTGTAGATTGCTTTAAGCAGGATGGCTATTTTGACAGTATTAATTCTTCCTAGCCAACAGCATGGGATGAGTTACCATTTGTTAGTGTCCTCTTTAATTTCTCTTCAGAGTGTCTTGTAGTTTTTAGGGTATAGTCTTTCACTTCCTTGATTAGGTTTATTCCCAGGTATTTTATTCTTTTTGATGCAATTGTGAATGGTATTCTTTTCCTGATTTCTCTTTCTGC